AAATTTCCCACTAAAGAAGGCAAGTTATTTTCTATATAGCCACAATAAATGATTCGTCTGTGATTACGCCTATCTAAAATCTAAAGAAAACATACTGATAAGTGTTTGCACGCACGCACAATGTTGGTGTAACACCCATAAGACAGTCGGGTGGTCGTCAAGAATCCTAAAGAAATTGAACAGGCACGACAGAACTGAAAGAAGATCGTCACGGGCTTGATTTCGAATCGATTAGTTTGCTGAGATGGGGATGGGCAATAGTTTTAAAGAAAAAAAAAACTGCGCATCGACCGTGTTTTGTAGTTCCTCAGCAGCCAAACCGTACAACGTATTATATTAAATTTCAGTTGCTTGGTCAATTTTCTCAAGGCAATTCAATTGCATCAAAAATTAGTTGAATAACCGAGGAAAGAAGACGGAGCCAAAAATGAGGCGTTATACGTCCACGGACGCGGGCGCCTATGGGCCACCGAACAGACTGATGTTTAGGTTGTTTGACTTGGCGGCCGAAAAGGGCTCTGTAATTATCTCGCCTGGCATGTAACTGCCTGCCCAGCTGTATTACTATCCAATCCGAGTCTAGTCACGGTATCCTAAAATATTACTAACCGACGTCTAAAAGTGCAGCGGCATCTCTTGGCTCGGGAACCAAAGAAGGAACGCAGGAGCATACTTATTGTTAGCGATAAAGTATGGCGTCCCAATGCACTATCCGAGCTATAAGAACGAAGCTTGAAGCCTGCAGCCTGCAGCCTGCAGGTAAGTGCGTGTCTAAAGTGTACGTGCTCGCGCTCGTGTCTTCACGTAGCAGCTCTTTGCTTCAAGTTCGTGAGGCGCGTGTGTGAGCATTGCCAAGCACGTACCCGCCTTCCCCTATATGGATGGATATATCTATACCCGTATTCGAGTATGCGACTATACTTGTATCTTCTCTGTGGATAGTATACGGGCACTCGGCCGAGTGTCCAGAGAGGATCAGAGGTGGTGGCGGCTACGGAGGCTAATCACAGGCGGCCGAGCTCCCCGCCAATTAATACCACCGCCGGCAACACCTCGCTCGAAACAACCCCGTACTCATACTCATGCCTATGCTCATGCCTATATACATGTCGATGTTCGTACTATGCTCTACTGCTCTATACTCATAACCCACACTGATACTTAGCGAAATCTCTTGCCTTGCTTTGCCATCCCATTATTCTGCTGGTAAGAGCCTTCCTTTGCTTCGACCCGGTTCGGTTAGGTTCGGTTATTTTCGCCCTCGCTTGTCTTCAACGAATTGACTTCACTTGACTCATACCTTGAATATGTGGTTGACTCATGTGTGAATGTCAATCCACAGAATTCTGCGGGAACGAGTAATCTTTTCGACTCTGTCGAGAAAGGAAAATAAATGAAACTAATAAGATGATATTCATCGATTCTCTGTATCGCTTAAACTCAATACAAACAGAAAATGTCCGAACAATAGATAATGGAGATGTAGAAAAAAATTACATAATCTGAGTTCATTTGTTTATAAGTCATCCTCGTTGCCAAGTAACCGATTTACTGTGATTTACTCAGGACAATGAAATTGGGCATAGTGAGAAACTCATAAGACGACATATGCGCTCCTGCCATAGGTACTAGTGCCGAATAGAAATATGTCATGGGGTACGGGAGTGGAAATGAAAATGGGATTGAGAATGAAACGAGCAAGGGAATGAGAATGGGAATGAGAGGGAGAACGAAGGTCAGCTCCCGGAACGTGTTACGCTGCGTAACGCCGCGCTGGTGTTTTCAAGCAAAGTGCCATTTTTCCGCGCGTAACGACCCGGAGTATCCACTTTATTATTTCATTGGGTGGCCGGCATGCACCTAATGGAGTTATTACAAAAGCATTAGGTGTCGGCTATAATACATGGTCAAATTGTCCAACCAACAGTGGCGGTAAAGCCAATAGGCAAGCGCAGGGGAAGAACGGAAGACTTGAAAACTGGAAGACCATGGAGGAATTAGGGGAAGCATATTTCCGAAAGGTCCAGTCTTCACTTGCAGTACTCCATAGAAAGTATCCGATGTCCAATGATCACAGGCTTAATACCAAATTTTGAGGCATTATTACTTATTACACTTTACTTGGAATATCGCATAGGGAACGTGGAGATGATATCTCGTACCACAATACATGAAAATATAGAATACACTGATTGTAAGACTAGTTCGATCGGCCGGGCGGCAGATGAACGCTGAACAATTTCTCGCTGGTCGGAGTTCTTTGATGCTTTGAACTCTCACCGCACTGACCGATCCTGGCGGTAATCATGCGAGCTTGCCACGCCCCGAAAAACACCTCTACTTCTCTTGGGTAATCTCATCTGAGGAATCTGATTCTAAGCTCGATATACGATCTTCTTCGATCCCGATCTCGCTCTCGCTTTCGATCCGGTCCGATCCGATCTGATCTCAGAATCGATTGCTGAACCTTCTCATGCAATTGTTGCAATCGAATCGTTATTGAAGGTCAAATACTGCAAAATATATCCTATCGGAAATAGTCAATATTGTCATGAAATATAGAATGTTAGATCCATTCTTAACATACTGTCTATGCAAAATGTGTTATTTGCACCAAACGGCGAAATATACGATGGATCAACAAAGTTTCCGTATACTTTGCTACAAGTCCTTTAGTATTGTTTAATTATAAGCCCAATATCGATACTGAATATTCTTTCAAAAGTTATAATAACAAACATAAATTAGTTCACGAATGCCGATTGCTATTTATATCGCACGAATCAATTTCAAATTATACTTCTATTCTCTCTTCACTTACATTAAACAAAAATACAATTTCTTCGTAGCGTATCATCTAAGTTGTGTTTGGTTATTTTATTATTATCGTTTGTTCAATGTACACAGATTCTTTTAACTCTGATCGGGCTAAGTTTACCTTCGAGTCAAAGCTTAACGGTCATTTGAGGTCACATGATCTCAACGTAACGTGTGGTCCTTACTGAAGTGTGAATATTAAGGATTAATAATAAAACAACTGCTATATTATAATTAAATTTTGTGTAAATTGCTGCTGTACGCAGAGAGTTTAAAATACTGTGCAAATATTTTAATATTAATTGTAAGTTATACATTGTCAAAACTTCAGAAATGTGGTGTACGTACACTTTTTTTATGTGCTGTAGGTATCAAGTGTTCTGAGATAATATATGTGCAATGGATTTTACGAATAAATATTAATTAAAACGATCTAGACCTATAAAGGTATGACTTTTGCAAGTCGACTATTGTAAAAGTCATACGAATGTATCTTTAAGACTTACCTGAAATGTATTCTTAAAATTTGTCATGTTGTATATACAATAGGATTGTTCAAGAATATTGCAATGTTAATCTATTCTTTTAGTTTCTGATGTAGAATCATCTTCAAAGCATGCAAAACAACTGAATGCATGTACCCGTATAACCCTGTATGCATGTAAATGCATATTAACGTTTGAAAAAATTCAGTGACCTTCAAGATTATAATATTTTATAACAAGGTAATAGAGATATTAAAGGACGGTAACTGTTTTCGACCCACTGCCATCGACCACATCTATTATCCACATTGTCTATATTCTAGGCCACCTTGTTGCGTTTTTCATCCAGTACATGTCCCATGATCTGTCATGTACGTTACGCTTATATTGTGAATCATCAGAAAATATAAGTCTAACTGGTGTCGCAAACTGACCAAAGTTGTGGCCAGGTACAGATTTATGGAAATCAAATAACTATAGAAATCGATTCATTTGTCCACGAACAAATTAGACTCCATTTAGCGGACCGATTCCAATACATAAAGTATATAGGCAATTCCACCCCTTGGATCGTTTCTTGCGAGATTAATGAAACACGAAGAGTGTAACGTCGATTCCGCGGTGACGGAGCTCTCCAACAAACAGCTGAGGATTGTGAGATTGAACGAATAGAGGATTCGCTTGCTAGTTCCTGAGGCGGGACTCTATCCTTACGATTCACTCGAATATTAATGGTTTTATAAATTAGTTTGGTCGGTCCACGGTCGGCACCCGAGGGCAACAATCCGCGCCTCCCATCGCTCACCTCGAGGAGCTGCCGGCCAACTTTCCTTGAGGCTCTTCTGCTACGCTGCCAGGCTGCTAGTCCTGCTAATCCTGCCACCACTTCCACTACTACAGTTAAATATGGATGAAAGACGGAGCACTTGGAGAAAGAAAAACAATAGGCAGCAGTAAGTATAAAGGCGAGGGAGGTCAAGAGAAGAGTTGTCGAAGAAGAGGGCGCTCGTCGGTATATTCGACAAACTTCGGTTTCTTTCGGTTTGATTGACTTGACTCTAGCAGTAAAAGAGACGGCTTTGTTCTACCATTTTCTCGGCACAAAAGCCGCTAGTAATTAAAACTGAATCCTCTGGGGAATCTATGAGGTCTAATTAATAACGGCACTGGCCCTCGTCTCATTCTCGATCTCACCTTTTCGAGCCGCCACGCTATTCTTTCCAGCAGATTTATGATATCGAAGTTAGCCACGGCACTTACCGAGAGTTTTAGGCTAGAATAATAAAAGTGGCCGGGGGATACGACGTGGAGAGGACGGAGGTAGAATGATGGACGGCGGCCGATCAGCGCCGTCAAAATAATGATCAGCGTAAATAATGAGCCCTGTTATACGGGATTTTGCTCGTAGTACATGGACGCTACGTTTACGTATCGATGCATAACATTACGTAACACATAGCAACGTTCAACGAAGAAACAATCGTCTTCGGCTATTATAGACGATAGGCAGTCGCGTATCGTCATCAGTGCCCGTGCATGCTATATATTCAAATCAATGTCGTCGTAGTAAAATCAGTTGTTACTCCTCGAAATAAAGTATATATTGAGCGTCTATATGTACGTTCGTGAACAGTACATAGCAGCGATTAAGAATTGACAACAATTGCCACTAATGAAGAAATAATGGGTATTGCGATGTGCTGAAAGGACTTTTTTCTTTATTACGTTTTTTATTTAATGTTTAATTGGACGTATGATAGGTCATTGAACGATGATAGCATGAAAAATGGATTCTCGATTGCACAATTTCTCTCATTATGATTGTAAGATAATTGACACGGGATGGCACCATGCTTGAGTTTAATAGATTGACCTTATTAACGCTAAACCTACGATCAACGCGTCATTTGATCCTTTTGAAGCCAAAAATACGATTAGGAAAAATTGTCGGTAGGTTTACTGTTAAAAAATCCCGTGTTTACGGTCGTCCTTGCTCGGTTTACGTCGCAAACGCAAGTCATATACTTCTACCTCTCTATTCTTTACAGATATATAGTAAGTCTTTGCTTTTACATCAGTTGTATTTTGGCTAGCCAGGAAGCAAGTAAAGTTGCAACTGCGATTGTGACCAAAATATAATCATAACCTCCCCCCGCCCAGCGAACGTGAACCAAACCTTCTATCTTCTTGGAAATAATCGTAGCTCTATTTCATTCTAATAGTTAAAAATTAATTAACTCATCAGATAATTGTTTAAACGATTCTTTTTCTACTTATTTTCATTTCTGAGAATTTCTCTTAGAGCAAGACGTTTTGGCTTCCCAGTAGGAGTCAATGGAAACTCGTCAAGGAATCTCACTCCCCCTCTCAGTTGCTTTCTCTCAATGACTTCAGCAGCAACTAAATCAATTATTTCTTTTTCCGTTACTTGGATACCTTCTCTTCGCACAATAAAGGCAACCGGATGTTCTCCATCAACCTTGTGAGGTTTTCCGACGACTACGCAATCTTTTACACCCGGATGTCTACGGATGATATTTTCAATTTCTGCTGGTGCAATTTGATTACCTCGATACTTTATCATCTCACGCAACCTATCGACGATAAAAATATCACCGTCGCTATCGTAATAACCGATATCTCCAGAATGCAACCAGTTCTCAGAATCAATGGCATTCAAAGTCTCCTCGGGATTGTTGCGGTATCCTTTCATAATGCAAGGACTTTGCCAACAGAGTTCACCAATTTCGCCTGGACCAAGGATCTCCCCGCGTTCAAGGTCAATCACTTTGAGTGCTATGCCTATGATCAGTTTACCGCAAGAACCAGGCTTCGAGGTAGGGTCCTGAATCGTCGCTACTCCACATAACTCTGTCATACCATAGCCGAGGATGATTTGAACACGAGGCATTGCTTTTTTCAAGAGACCGAACGCTTCGGAGGAAACAACACCGCCAGCTGCAGATATCTTTTCTACACTAGACATGTCATATTTCTCAAGATAGCCTGAATGAATTAATCGAAGCAGGACGCTTGTGCCCATAAGAATCCAATTCACGCTGTATTTTTCGACTAGTTTGCAAGCAGTCTGTTCCTCAAAAGTTGGTACAATAATGCACTTTAGGTTGCACGCGAGACTAACGAATGTTGCGACTGTCCCGGAGATCCAGTAAAGGGAAGATAATACCATAGTGGTCTTTCTATCAATATTTAAATACGACACGACACTAAGTTGCACCAAGAGGTTTCTATGGGTATGCTCGACGGCCTTTGGCATACCTACACTTCCGCTGCTGCAAACGATCACGGCAACTTGTTCAACATCATCAAATTGTGTGCATTTAAAGTCCTTTGTGAGCTCCGTCTTGAGTACCTCTTTCTCATAAGAAATGCAATCGTGGTGTTCACCAAAAACTATGACCTTTGCATTACATTTCGACTCACGCAATACAACGCGAATGGTACACACCGATTCCATATCACAGAAAATAAATGTTGGCGGGCATAACGATATCAAATATTTCAGGTCCTCTAAAAACGAAAATATTCATATTAATTCTGAGGAATTACTATATACCTATATTTATAAAAAAGAATGATTTACTTGTGTTCAGTATTGGATCCCAAGGCATCATTGTCGCAGCACAGTACAAAGCTGCGTAGACCGGGATGACGGAATCGCAGTGATTGTGCGAACAGACGACCACGACGTCGCCTGGGCTTATCCCATGATTTCTAAGCCATAGAGCTGTTCGTATACTGCGATCTTTCATTTGCCCATAGGTGTCTTCACGTTCAGTAGTCGAATCCACCTAGAGAATATTATGTAAAACGCGCATAATACCGATATCAATGAGAAAATCTTACCTGAGCAACAAAATCGGGCATGGTGGATAGCTTCTTCAGAATGTAATCACCAAGACTGGCGTTTGGCGGAGGAAAGTTAAACGGAGGATGTGGACGCCGAAGAATTTTGCTCTGAGATCCATTTTCCTGATCTGAACTATCCGATTTCGTAGACCGCTGACGCGCTCCACGCGGCGTTAGACAAGATAAACACGATGGCATCCTCCCGGATCTTTTTTATAAGTGTTTACAAAGTATCAGTTTGCGTGAAGTGTCTACTGACGTCTTGATCAGACTACTGGCAAACTGCACCTAAAATTTCCTCAACTGAAGAATTAACGAGTGCTCTGATGAGTAAGTAATGGTAACTCTACTACCAACGCCATCGAGCCTTATCGACGTAGAGATTCCGCGCATGGATAACGTCGAGATTTTCCAGATTCTAACCTATTCATCAAATACCACACAGACATACTTTGAATCAATGACAGATCATACACTTCCTCCGACTGTTTGATGCTCCATAAGTCAGATGTTCCAATGTGCTTTCTTTAAACTCAATTACTTTTTATTGATACGAAACGACAAAGAGTAAGACTAATCTATGAATTCCAAATCGTAAGAAAGACTGTAATGCCAATAATGAAAGTCTTAACTTGATTATAAGTAATCTACGAGGGATTTAACAATGACTGATAGTCAACACTTATCTCAATCTTAATCATTTAATCCAAACTTCTTGTCATTTCATATCAACCGAGCAAGGATTTTAGCACTGATTATTTGATATTGCGACATGAAGGTATTTAGTTTGAAATTCGGAAAAGTTAATGAAACGACACATGTTACGATACTTATTTTTTATCATAAGACTTAACGCAACTAGTTCTTACGACTAAGTTCTTGTTTAAGAGTCTACCTAGTCAGTGGGTTAGTTCGTCAGTTTATTGGTGGCTTCCTTCAACAAAAACATATTTTGAACTGCCATTTAACATGTCCAGTTTGATTCGTAGTGTTGGAAAACTTATCATAGGTAATTAAATTCCTCTCTCCCAAAAGGAATTATAACGAAAAGTGCAATGATGATGTAGTACGCATTATGCATTACGTAGTACGCAGCCCTGTTTTGTCGTGTTACCGCTCGTATAGCGAATTCGTGGTCACGCCTGTCAACGTTGGCTGCCAGCAAAGGGACAAACAACACTGAATCATTCTCGGCAGTAACATTAGGCAAAAGCAAGCGCCCCTCTCTAAAATACGGAACAGGGGAGTCGCCAACTCTATTATATTCGAATTACAGGCGCATTTGGGGTTACATTGTGTGGATTGTCCTCGTATTTGACTCCCTGTCGAGTCTCGCGCCCCTCTCGTACCCTTGTCGCATTCTTCTCGTGGTCCGTGGCCACATCACTCGCGAATCAACTACCACAGATTCGCTTACACGACATATGCGTATTCAAGAATGACCATGTCGAATTGTCAAATTGTCGAAGCGCCGATTCGAGCATTTATTTAAAATAAATTACGCGTTCTTCGTTCCCATTCCCGGTCCCAATCTCACCCCCGTGACTGATCGTAACGTTCCCTTTCTGAATTCCCACTGTTCCTAGCGAAGGGCTGACATACGCTGTTTGAATCCTGAATCTTTATGGAAGTACCGATTGCAGCTTGCAGGATACGATGGAAACCACTATTGCGTGTACAACGAGCACACTGAAGTCATAAAGTAAAATAGTTGGCCCTTTTGCATTTTCCTCGAGAGGAGATTCATAAATGAATAAACATTTTCTGAGCCTGTATTCTATGGAATCGACACTAGATAGTATCTTACTGAATAGAAATTACTTAGTCTGGAATACATGCAACGCAGCTGCTGCGTGTCTTCATTTTTTTGTATGGCTCCAGCTCTTATTATTCCTTTAGGCATTGTTATTAATCCTTGGTCGTTCATGAACTTTAAGAGCGTAAGCGTGTCAGGCCAAGGAGGCGAGGAGCCGTGACGCCCGCGACGCCTGTGACCCACCCTCGTAATGCTAGAGAATCGGGGGCGAGAAAAGCGCCGTGTTTGCAGAATTCATCGAATCATTGCCATTCCTCCTGGCACGCGCTGCCCTATGCCTGGCAATTTTTCAATTATTATTCTTCCCGGGAGAACAAGTGAATAATGCCCTCAACATGGTTGCCGCTACTGCTGCTGCTTGAATTCCGGAAATCGAGGGTGAGGGTGGACCTAAAGCGAAATGGTTCAATATAGACCTGCAAGATTAACTCTGTCTACTTTTTCTCAATATAAACTTGATATGTCGACCGTATTATTGGATATTCTCTGAGGATTATAAACTTTTCATGATTTCCACATACTATTGTATATATATGACAGTATTTTATTTGACCAAATCGTTAATATGGCGTGAATGTTATTATGGGATTTCCTGATTCGAATGTTCAAGTAGATAATATCCCTGACCCATTAACCACGCATATTGTATGATATAAAGCGTATACATAGAGCGTATGATGATGGCTACAAGAATTTTATCGCAGAAAATTGTCTAGTTTACACTAGTTCAATACATGGAAAACGGCTTACCAAAGATTTAACTTTGCGAAGCAACTAGGGATACCATAAAATCAAATGAAGGACGAAAGGTCGAAGGTGGCGGTGGCGGTTGGCTCTAGGCATGTCAGGTGATTTATAGACCGCCTTTGTACCGTCTTGTTTCGGTACGAGGAGGCAGATCCTCAGATTGGAAGATGAGACGCCCAGAAACCGAACCTAAAGAAATGAGCTGGACGAAGATGGGAAAGGGGACCTCTAGAGCACCAGACAGCGTGGCTCTACGTTCTAGGTTCTGTATCAACACAGGTGCACTGCTGTCTCGCCAGTTCTGCAACCTATACTACAATTCACCTTATGGCTTATATTCAATAACATAGCTGAGTCTACGAAAATCGCATTACTTTTTCAGCGGTCTAAAATTACCTTCCACTGTCATTAGTTGTCGCGTCTTATTCGATCGTATCTCATCCTCGTAAGTCTTTTATTTGGCCGCATCTTCCATCTTCTTCGCCAGTTGATATTATATATGATATATATACATATGTCATATAGTATATATACACTATATATATATATATATATATATATATGTCGGAGGGCAGTTTCCAAGACATACGGCAATCATAACGGCAGGCCGATGTATGTTTTTCATGTCATGTAAAAAAAAAACTAGATCTTACGACATGTGGCATTAAAGTTCTAATCTAATCTAATCTAACGAAGCCATTTCTTAGCCCATCAAAACTCCGAGTGTCTATATTACCAACAGTTTTTTGGAAAATTCGGTGTGAGTGCCGCCAAGTGGCCCTGGAAGTATACGTTGTATACAGAATTTTTCCAGATCCAGATTGGAAAGCATCAAATGTCCTCATAACTGCGAATACGTCAGAAAAAAAGGTCCTGGAAACCACTTCCCGATATATTTATATTATATGATATCATTAATTATAGCAAAGACATGCCAATATTCTGCCTACCTAGATTAACTAATGATTTAGCAACCTGTTCCATTTCAAATTTTCTAAAAGATTCTGTATAATCTAAAACGCAGCAATAGGCATAACAATAGCGTTAACCATGTTCTCTACAACCAGCTACTTTTTCCTACTTTGGTTTTGCACCAGCATCTCAGTCAAGAATTCCATCCATCAGTCGGGACTAGCTATCCCATGTTATTGCTGCACGAGCGTATAGGTAAATGCATACAGGTATAGGTGCGGCCCTACCTGTAGCTGTAGCCGGGGGGCCGAGGATTATACGCTGATGGCTTGAAAGGGGAAGCTGTCCGTCCTTTTTCTCATCTCTCGCGTCGACCTCCTCGTCGAACTCGAGATAAACTCGACTTGGGTGTTGATGACCAGACACTCTGGCGGCAGTAGTGGCAGTGACGGCAAACCTTGCGTCACTGATGATGCTTATGATATTGGTGCTAGTGATGTTCCTGGTGTTAGTAGTGTGGTTAGAGCTGGTATTAGTGACTGACTGGCAATCGCTGCCAATCCTAATGTAGAGAACCTCGACTACCTTACTGAAGATGCGGATGCCTTTCATCTTTCCATCTCTTTTTCTCCAACACTTCTTTCATTTTTAACCAGTCTTTATAGCAAAATTATTTCTCTCAAATTCGTAACGTTGTGACACTAAAGCAACAATATTAAGATTAGTTGTCATGCCGTCTAACATACAGGGTATCCCTAAATTGCTTTACTAATGGGGTAGAGCAGTGTCGCAGAAGCATTTCAGATCACGAAAATAACCTCCATTTTATTTGAAAGTAGGGTCAATTAAACACACTTATGCCATTTTAAGGAGAGATTAATCACAGATCTGCATAAGATCTTCGAGTACTTATTCCAATTTTTAAAGTCACCTGCAGCAGATCTTAGATTGACGTTTACCACATCGGTCGTAAGACAGTTACAAGAAAAGATCCATTTTTGATCTACAATTGATCATTCGCATTAATTTACCGTATATGAGACACATAAAAAATGAGATTTTATTCGCAACCTGCACAGGCTATACACACGAGAAATCTCAGACGCGTGAGCTCACTGCTCTAAAATTTTGGAAAGTGTTTGCATAATCTGCGTGCAACGTCACGGCTTTCACATGGTACTTTGAAGTTTTTGAAACAAGTTTTTAATTCAAAACCTGTCTAATGTGCTAAAGATTGCATCATTTGCAAACTGTCGATAAAACATGTTGAACTTGTAGTTAATCAACTGTTGTAAACAGCTGCTGCTGACTTCAGTCTCGTCGATGCCACCGAGAAACAAGACGAAAGAAAGAAAACTAAAATCGAAGGTGCTCTACTTTTTTGAAATCTTTATTTCTTTCTTGAAATATCTTCATTTTAAAAACTAAGCGCTTGTACCTAAAACGAAGATCACTTTCGTCTCCTGTGATGCCTCCGGAATATTGTTGTATCCCGTTAGTAAGGTTATTTAAAGACACCCATACACAATGTAATACTAAGAGTATAATAATAACAGCAAAAATAATACTAATAACATATTTATGACAAAGGGTGAGAATCAGCCACATTAGTAACTGCTTTGCATTCTGACTCCCGAACAATGGTGCAACAATTTCGATACGACTTTTTACACAGTAAAGACACCCAATATAAACTATTCAAGATTAGAAGTTTTACCAATAAATTTTCAATTATCTCATTTCTATTCGCTGGTACTGATTATTCAACAAACTCGGTATTTGCACTATTAGTTACGCCATTATGCCGTACGGCCATTTACTCGCAGCAAAGACTTAACAAGGGTCGAAGCTCAAAGTATAACTTTCATGTTATTCTGAGGCGAAGTAGGGGTAATGGTACAGGCAAAAGAACCAATGTGCGGAGGAAGGGTTCTCGGGGATAGGTAGAATGAGGGTATAATTCATTTATGCATTGTAGACTACCAGTACAATAGCAGCTACCTCTCGCAGCGACTCGTTCTCATTGAAAGCAAAGACACGCAACTCATTCTTTGATTGCGTTTTCGTACCTTTTATTTTCCACATCCGCTGAATCACCAGTTTTGGATTCGCTTGGCACCTCGCCCGCTCTTTGTCGAACAGGAGCCCGCAGGAAATTCATGATTCGAGGAATTTCTATCGGTCAACATTTGTAAGCTCTCTGAAGCTTGCAATACCTTTTCGATTTTATGTCTGTTTATATAGTAACCGTTGGGTCGCTTTGGCAATTCCTAAAGTGAGCATCCGCTCATCGTCATGTATTATCTGAAAAGAGATAGGAGCCTGGACTTTCATATGAGTAGCCTAGTGCGACATACATACTAAATTATTACGAAGCAATATCGAGCCGTAGAGCACTTGCTCTCGTTCCTACTATGGAAGTTCGTTACTCTAAGAAGAGTCACAAGTAGCAATGTTTACTATGGCAGAGTCCCTGTTTTATAATTACACCATTCTCTTTCGAGGTAAACAAAAATACTGTGGTATCTGTGTTGCATACTGTGGTATCTAGAAAAAAGGACTTTTAAATTTATTTTCGTGATACGAAAGATTGATATTATACAAGATGGAACAAATAAAATGTTACATGCTGTTTTCTTCGAAATCATTGGACATATCGATTTGTTTTTTCTTTACATTAAATGGGCCAAAGTGACTTACTATTTGATGTATAAAAAATTTGTTCTTGTGGGCTCCTAGGGAGAAGAAGGAAGACCAGTCTTATTTGTTAAATGAACTGGTGTATAAATATTTAATTTTTTGGATAGCTTTCATAAAATTTGGTAACATTTACTTTAAACATTTTTTTATCTTGCATAGTTATAGTTATGACATGGAATATTTTTCACAAGCGGAACTTAAAGGCGGCAACGAAAAATATGCCAAGATTAACGTGTTATAGGTTGAAAATCATTTTATTAAATGTTCAGAATGGTGTCCGTAAACTTCTAAACATTTCGTAAACCTTCATGAAAATTGTTTCAAGCACATGCAGTAAGGAATTCTTGTTTCCATGTTTTCATGTTCTCCTCTATATAATCATCTGTTTATATTTTACGTAATCACAATACAAAATTTAATAGCATTAAATCCAATGACCAAGGTAGCCACAAAATAGATCTGCCACGTCCTATCTATTTATTTTTGATTTTTATATTTAACAGTGTCCATGTATTTTTAGCCATATGTGTTGAGCTGGAGCCTTATCATGTTAAAACTACAATTTTATTTTACACACACAAAATTGCACAGGAAATCAGTTTTTCGACAATGTTTTTCTAAATATAAAAATTTCAAGTATGATATTTATAGGTGGAAGCGTTCAGCGAACACTTCAATAGCTTGTCAGTAAGTAGTTCCTTTTGCATTCGCGTAGCACTAATAACATATTCAAACTTTACTAATCTATGAAATAAATTAGAAACAGCTTGTAGATCTCTTATAAACTTGTTTATAAAAGCTTTCAAGAAAATATCTTCATAATGCCGAATAATTTTCAGCAAGCGCATGCTCTTAACAAATCTAAAATACGTAAGAATACATGTCCAGCCGTACCCATTGAATCGAATTCAATTTCTTGCCATAATTTTTTAACTATACAAAATAAAAAATCTTCAAAGTAAATGTTATATTCATTTGATCAAAGCTACTGAAACGAATAAAGATTATACTGAGGTCTATTTAAAGAAAGGGGAAGGTGGAGGATACCTTCACCTCTTAAGAGCCCAACAAAACAGATTTTTTGCACATAAAATAGTCAGTCCTTTTATCCCTTTTAATGTAAATAAAAATCAAGCCTATCTGGGTTATAGATAATTTTATCAATGATTTTTCAAAAGAAGTCTTGAGTGTACTAAAATACGATTTCACTCGTGCAGGAGAAAAGATTTTGAAAGTTTTGACTATTGGTCTTCGTATTCATTCACCTTCTGATCCTGAGTTCCATTAAGAAGAGAACACGGGACAGCTCACAACAAAGCCCCTTTAAACAATCTGTATTGTCCACGTAATTCTGGATGATGCGTGAAATCAACACATTTTCCCATTTAATTGACAAACGCAGTGACCGCCGTGAAGGCCCATAAGGGGACATGAAGGCACAGAAAGTACACCCACAATTCATAGCTTCGGAGTAGCTTGGCAATGAGGCCGCTTTCCTAGAATTCGTAACTGCCCAAACGACAAAGACATAGCGACTTATCTTGTATAGTTTTCTCAGGAATACTATGCCTTAAGTCAGTGTAGAGATTCATTCGAGTACCGCCTCGAGCACGTACATATACACACATATATACATACAAATTATATACAAAGAGAGCCAACAAGAATAGGATCTGGGTGGACGGAATATTCTTATAGAGATAGTTGTATTTATAGTTATACTCTTGATTTATTTTCATCAAAGTGGGAACACCTTCTTGTTCCTGTCATAGTATTAGCAGTATTTATCATACGAGACAATAAAAGGTTAGGCGATAATAGTTAATATCAACCAATGGGATAAGACGAGACTCTTTGACGATATCAGTTAGCAATATATTTTCAGAGAACTGTTTTAATCTTTTGAGAATATATAATTTTTTCGTTAGATATTTTAAATCTAGACTTGCATAACTTACCGTATTGCACCAACCCATTACTACTTCTATTTACATGGTACACATTTTCATTTACTTTCCATCTTCTCGTATGGGGAAGCGCTCGAAAAAACATCAGAAATCAACCTAACATCTAAAAGAGTAGGCCTATCAAACAAATGATACGCGAGAGGACTAATGATGATTTGTGTTACTTTTTGGTCGGAGATCAAAGCAACGGCTTTCCACTGGAAAGGCAAGAAGAGCCAGGAGCAAAGAGTCGAGGGAAAGGTGGCAGGGCAAATCGTTTGGTTCTCGGCTTGAGGCCAAGATCCAGGCTTGAGAGGGTCGTTCCAATTCCCCGCAACAATAGCCAACTGTAAATCAACTCTACAATAGCATTAAAAGGCACTGTATGCTTTGCGGCAACCTAACGACAGGTGGAGTGGATATTTCTTGGTTCCACTTGGGTCTACTCATTTCTAGCAGATTTTAGTCGGTTTTCATTATACTGAAATACATATTTTACCAATATTTCTGTTAGCTATACATATAATTAAATTTTTCTTCCTTTCATTCTGTTACCATTATGCGACTTTTAATCTCCAACATGCCAGATGTAGTAAAGCTACCTTAAGAAATTATGATAACGCCATTACATCGACGAGAAAAAGAAATATCACAGGTTAACTAATAATAGGGGAAGCAGACAAATACAGTGGAAAAAGAGGAAATCAGCGAATGAAAGAATTGAAGGACTGAGCAAATGCGATCGAAAATCTGATCCCAAAATATTTGGAGTTCAATGAGCTACATTATTTTATCGTGATTACTGATTAAATATTCTTATTGCTTCGATGCACTGTCGAAAATGTTGGACTATCAATTTTGTTAGCTACTCAAATGTCCTATACGATTGTACCAATTTACGTATTAGATTTACATTTCCTTCTGTACGTATTACTTGTATTTCCAATCTATATACAATAATTTATTTCTTGAGGCATTTTACTTTTAGCTATACGTAAGTCTAATTGTAATAAATGCTGGGATTTCGTGGCTCTATTTCACAATTCGCACCACTATCGCAAGAAACATGCGGCTAAAGACTTATGTAATTGCACATTGCGGTGGTCAATAATTGCTGAGCACTGAAATCACTACGCTTAATCATATTTTTGGGTGAGTCAATAGGTTTTCAATTAATATGAAATTCACAATAGTTTTTCTCACAGAAGTCTTCAACTTCATCTTATATATAGTCTCATTATGCATCTTGACATCCTATTCTCCTCCAAGGGAGATTATTTGGAAGTATTGCAGGTAGTCCATGACCGACAAAAGGTACTCAGGTGGTAGCACCATAGGGTGGCCTACGAAGGCCCGTCGTTCCTAATGAAACGGGATAACCGGCGTAGAGAGGTCGTGGTACAAGAAGCGTCGTTGCCCTCCTCATCATAGTTCCGCCCTCGGTGCCTCTCCTTACATCCTCTACTTCGACGCTGAGTACATCATCGTCGGGAGCGATGATATTTTCGATAGTGAATGGTCTCTTTGTTCTTCTTTTTGAGAGTGTGAGATTCGTCGTGGAACTACCAACGTTAGTATTAATGGAGGTGATACTAGCTGTAGTAGTAGTAGTAGTAGTAGTAGTGGTAGTTGTAGGCATAGTACCAGCGGCTGCAGAGGTGACATCATGCTTTGGAGAGTTTCGAGGTGTTCGTGATCCTGTGGAGTCTTCAATGTAGATTTCCGTGCCATCTATGGGTATGATCGAAGAGCCAGTAGTGGGCGTCGTACTGGTCTCGCGTTCAGGAAGAAGTCGCGGTCCGCAGAGTCGATGCTCCCCTAATGAGATATCCACAGACAGAGAATTCTGTCGATGATGCAAGTATGCCGGAAGCTGGTGTACGTACGGTGACGTGTTAAATCCGCTCGAGAAACCCCAACTTCCTGAGCGAAGCAATGCACTCGTATCATAGTCCGTGGAAGCTGGTGGTTCTGCACCATCAGAGAGTGATCCTCCTCCAAGCCTTTGCCTCGCTTCTGGTGAGAGGAGATAGTACCCGGAAGCGATCTCCGCAGCAGCTACCGCTGCTGTTGATTCGAACCCTAAGCCCGCAGCGGCTGCTGCAGCTGCTGCGGCCGCTGTCACCGCTGCCGTCGCTGTCGGTGTCACTGTCACCGTAGCTACGCTTGATGAGGATGCCGCCGCAACCATTATTTGTTTCTCCTGCATCTCCCATCTGAGTAAATCTTCTCTGAGCCGATGCAGATTTGCTGCGTTGAGTCCAGCACTTCCTCCACTTCCGGTGAAGCCCACGACCGCAGCAGCTGCAGCTGCTGCTGATCCAACGCTCGTACTAACGGTATCTCCATGATGTGGGGGAGGTGGTGGCATAACTGATGCAAGAGCTTGCAATTCTGACTTGAGCAACTCCTTGTCAGGTTTATGTAGCTTGAAACGTTTCCGTCGACGTAAGAGGCTGCCATTTTCGAACATGGACAGGGCTGCAGGGTGCAACGCCCAGTAGGCACCTTTGCCTGGTCTATGTGGCCCTCGCGGTACCTGTAACCGTCAGATATTTTCTCTAAAAATCATGCCTTCGTTCCTGCAACTGACATTTTTGACAGCACAGATACGGTTTCTCGTGGTAGAAGCGATAGCCGACAGCCATACTGATTATAAGTACTAGGATCTGCTTTCAGACTTCGACATGCCAGGGTGAATATCATTATAGTGGATGGTTAGGGATAAGGAATACGGAATAAGAAGTGCGGATGAGGAATTAATAATTGAAAAACCAAGAAAATTCATATCTATATGCAACGAGCAAATTTATAAAGATCATTAGAAAACAAACCTTAATGAAACAGTCGTTGAAGGATAGATTGTGACGCAGGGAGTTTTGCCACCGCCGCGTATCCTTACGATAATAAGGAAACCTGTCAGCGATAAATTTATAAATTTCTGCTAATGGTAACATCTTGTCTCTAGAGGACCAGATTGCCATCGCGGTCAAAGAGATGTATGAATATGGTGGTTTTTGGTCTCCATATGTGTCACGCGACGGACGCGGCATCATTAGTTTCTACGGACAATCCACGCAGAGCCACTTTTCTTGTTCCCGTTCACCTTCACTGGCTTTGTCTCTGTCTCTTTACTACCTTCTTCTTATGTGATTTGGGCGCATCTTCCCGAATGTAATTTTCTTCGATGTTGCATGGGTTTCCATCAATGATAAGGATCGAGACCGTCGGGCGGTGTCAGAATGTGTATCGACTACGGCATTCTGTATGAGATGACTTTGCTCAGTCACTTTACCTGCAGGACACGTTGAGAAAGATGAGAGAGGTCAGAAGGATATCGCGAAAAAACTGGATGAAATATTCACCAATCAGCTCTCATATCACATGAAAATATAAAAACACTAATGATCCTGCGCACTATTCACGATGACCTGTCAGCACAACATTAATTCAAATGACATGGAAGTAAAACATAGTATTGCGAATGTGTTTTAAATAAAATTTTTAAACTTGATTGAACACTCCCGAGAGTAATTGTCTTTTATAGCAACTTCTTTAAAGATGATTTACCAAGTTTTCGCGATCAGAGCCTCTCCGTTACTGCCAGGTAAGTATCCCCATATCCCCACGCTTCTTTCATCCCCACTGCTTGGAAGAAGAGAACGCTGCTCCGATTGGCCGATCAGTTCCCTTGTTGGATATATATTTTGACTGGAACGACCTTCTATCCAATGAAAAGAAGGCTTCCTCCTTAGACAAAAGTTGCACCGCTAGAGCAAGAGAAGCACGTGGTGTAGAGTGGCGTAAATGTAGATACTAGAGGCGTAGAGATCGAATATGAGGACTCACAATGTGGGGGCGGAGTCATATCACTACGTAAACTTTTTGTTTCACAATTCTGGCTACTTGCTGTATAATGAGAAGCTCGATTCTATAACCAAATCGACAAAGCTCGTATGAGGCCTAAGACAAGAAAATGGTATATTTTACCTAATAAAGCTTGAGAGGCCAGAATAAAGAAAGTGATTTGGGATGCATATCAAAGAGGACAGAAAAAGAGAGAGAAAGAGAGGGGGGAAAGAGAGGAAGGAGAGAGAGTAAATTAAAAATGAAGATTATTGGACAGTACAATACTGGTTGCAATTGACAGATACGTAGTTTGAGAATCGGTTAATTCAAGATGTATGCTTGATGCTAAAAGAGGAGTAGAAGGGAGGCGTATGCAAGAAGGAGCTCCACCTACTTGAGGAGGTCTCGTAAAGGGCAGCTCTCCTTGTTAAGTGGATGTTGCCTCAGTAAGAGTCCATTTTATTGTAAGTTTATGCGTGTTCACGTCCGCCAGTGCGCGCCGTAGCGAGCACGAGTTGGATATCTAGGTGTACGCGTTCCGTTCTCCAAAAAAAAAAGAGCTGCGTGACTGGGGTGCAAGAGGACGAAAAAGGATGATAGAGAGCTAGAGAATAACAGAGAAAGATGGAGGGAGGTAATTGATTTTACGCTCGAGCAATCTTTCCTGTCGGGTTGGCAGAGGGGAGAGCGGGTGGCTCGTAAAGCACATCATGCCTCATACCTCCTATAGTCGTATGTTATGGCGGCTAATGTGCTTGTAACGTCGCAACCTTCCCACTATCATGCTTTAACGTATTTCCTCGTTTCTCATAAAGATATGTGCTCAGCATTGCGTAACTGCACTTGATTCCTCAATTTCTCTTGAAATACTATATGCAGCAATAGTGAAACGACAACGCCCTACATAACAGCGATTAGAATCTCAGTAATTAATTAATCATCCACAGAAGACAAATTATAAATAGACACTCAACACTTTTTGACAATTGGTTGAAGGGTCCGTCGACATATCCTTCTGTGTATAGTGATGTTCATAACAGAACATTTTCCAGAAAACGCTGATATTTAAATGCCTATTCGAAAACCTTACGAGAATTTTTAGGGCAAAGATTACGAATATCAGGGAAGTTCAGAAGAAAAATTATGTCTGAAATACATCATTCATATATGATAATGGATATATAGCATCTAAACATATAATATGAATATTTATTATTATATTATCAAAAATAATGGTAATACATTGATTGGACACAAAATTAACTTTTTCTGGTTTACATGAAATTGTCGAATGTGTATTACAGAATGAAACAGATGTAAAAAGCGAGCGGAAAACGTACATGGACACAAAAATCTGTCGATTCTTCAACAGAAAATCAGCGAAAAATTACTATGCTTTTCGATAATGAGAATGCGATTACCTACCATACCAAAAAGTGTTGTTAAGGCCATTCTACAATGCAACAGGATACGTAACATGAAACACATAAGTGGCGCGATATTCAATTGTATATTTACCCAATTCCATTGGATCCTCCAATTAAGAAGGCGAAAATCGGTTTTAAAACCGTGCGTTTACTAAGTCTCTACGAATTTGGCTACGTCTCGGACATAGCAACGATACGGAAGTTGCTAGGGTGGTTAAGGATTTCACGGAGCACGTAACGTGATGAGTAGCATCGAGTATGACCCGTTCCGTGCACCGTAACGGCTTACGTAAAAAAAAAAACAATTGCCCCGTAAATATTTCCATGCGTGAAATGTCATTACCTGTTACCTGTCATTACCAACTCTATAGACGAGGTCATTATCAATATCGTTAGAGAAATCAAATTTCTCTACGATAAAAGTCATCGTGACTTTAAAAATGAAGTAATGATTTACTTGTCTATATGAATAAACGCATACACATTTTTTAAAATATTTATATATTGACAGATAATAACAGGTGTCAGGTAATGACATTTCACGTATGAAAATATTGGCGGTGCAATTATTTTTTTCACGTAAACCGTTACGGATTACGGAACGGGGCATGCTCGATGTTACTCATCACGTTACGTGCTCCGTGAAATCCTTAACGAACCTAGCAACCGTTTCCGTATCGTTGCTATGTCCGAGACGTAGCCAAAATCGTAGAGACTTAGTAAACGCTCGGTTTTTAAAACGATTTTCTCCTTCTTGATTGCAAGATCCAATGGAATTATGTAAATATACAATTGAATATCACGCCGCTTATATGTTCCGTGTTAGGTATTCCGTTGCATTGTAGAGTGGCCTTTAGCCCTTGCAAAAGAATGATAAAAATGGTTGGTAATGACCAAGATAGAATAACTCTACTGCCACAGTAAAGTCTCTTATGCTTTGCAGTAAAACTTCTTTACCGACACCTAGTATAATTTTATTGAATGTCAAAAAATTTTTACTTAATCGTGAATTTTTCGTCGCTCATTTCATTTTTACTTTTCTTATTGATTAATTTATTAATTAATCGATTTTGACGTTTTTCGATTCCTTATTGTGAGGTTTATGGGTATTTCAACCTCGAGGTAATAATTTTCTTCAGAACGTTTTCATATTTATTAGTTTCAAATAAAATCAATGTTTAACAATTTATTTGCACCATTTGATACTTGCAGCATGGGGAAAAAGTGAAAGAAATTGAGATTAAAGGGGAGTGAATGAAATAATAAACAAATTTTTTATTTGAAACTATAACACAGAAGCACAATACAAAGCCATATGACACTCAGCATCTGCGTGCATAGTACTATACCATTAAACAAACAAAAATAATGAAAAACAAAAAATGTATACTAATGCATTTTTTGTAGGATCGCTTCGACAATTACTCACTGCATTGTTCGCTACACATGTTATATTCTCGTCTTAAAAAAAAAAACAAGAAATCAAAATATAGTAAGCGTTATTAATATCCGGTACAGGCGGGCAGTAAGCGACAAATGCCTTGTTCGCGTCCGTACGGGTTTTATGACGCCGACTCTAACAGACCGTATGGTAAAAGTTTCCGGTAGCACATTAAAATTTCTTACTATTAGTTTCTTTCCGATTTAGTTCCAACACATCTACCAATTTTCCTTCTACGTAACTTAAAAAACCCTATTTTACAAAAAATTAAAATTTTTACTAGGTTATATGATAAAAATTAACATCTTCATTTTAAATGTTGTGGTACAAATTGAAATTGTTCCTTCTTTATCCGATAAATTCTTCTATAAACGTCATTCGCATCTCGTTTGTAATGAAAAGTACGATCATTTTTCTGTAATTTTTCTTTCCTTGTAGTAACGTGTTTTGACTATAATGTAATAGAAACGAATGTGTTCATTCTGTATCATAATTATATAAAAGTTTAATATAGATTATATATGCTCATTTTTATAAGGTGTACAAATTAATTCTCAGCCGTTTTTGCAAAACGTACAATTTACTAACCCCCGAAACGATACCCATAACTTGTTACATATTTCCGCTACCTCTCAGGCAACTGTCGAATCTCGCTACTGAAAAGGAATGGTTTTTTTTGAAGATTAAAATTTCCATCCTTAAACCTTTAGAACAACTTTTTACACGTACTATAAGACACAGCATTTCCACCTAAAGTGCAACAAATCATTTCCTTAGCCCATGCAGCATTTTTCTTCAGTTGGAAGACGAAAAGCAAGCAGTGATTAAAATGTTTTTTGAATAACATTGTTTTCGCTGCCGTTTTTTGATGTTATATCAGGAACACTTCCAAATATTATACCTCATTTAAAATCGTAAGGACGGTGCTTTAATGTTACCCTACGGTGGGAAAAAATTAAAATTTGAATAGATGCCGTCGCTTATTAAATTTTGGAGCCGAGAATTAATTTGTACACCTAATATACATATATAGGTATTATATATAATTCATATACAACTTACAATTAGTAAATGAGAATAAATAACTAGGTGTGTATGCATAAGTATAAAACTTAAAAATTATTGTTTTGAAAACGAGTTTTTTAAATTATTTCTAACGTTTCGGTAAGACACGACACATTATGATAAAGCGTAGTAGATTCAAAATATGTTGAAATCGAAGAATTCAAGAGAAGGAAAAGAAACTTCGTTTAACATCTCCAGATAGAATTGAGGTACCGGAAGAGTAATGCGGCAGAATGTTGACACTACGTAGAGTATCACGATATAAAGAAGGAACAAATTTCGATTTAGGCTTTTCAAAAAATTTATAGAGATAAATTTGAACTAGTAGTCCTATTCTCAAACGTTTAGTTACAGTTGTCAGGACCCTTACATACAAGTGATTGAGTTTTCTTCAATCGCAAATAAGACTTATGATTGGAAGACATTACAATTAGGTAAAATACAGTTATCGTTACTACCAAAGATACTGACCATTTTCGCTATAAGTTAAAAATAAATAGGGTTTGCAGCATTGTTTCGAATTTCTTGACTTATAAACACCGAGGAGATACCAGTAAAACCAACCACTCAGATAGCCAAACGTGTATTGTCACATAATGAACTCACAATCAGTTTGAAGACATACTGCAATCATGCTCGTACAGTGCAAACAATGTTCGTCAATTTGCAATAGATTTAACATATAAATATATTTAAAATTGTTGAACTTGATATATCAAAACTAACATCATAAATTATGTCTATTAACTTTACGATATATTTAGCAAAATTACTGGAGTCATATAAATATAACGAAGTGTATCTTTA